AAGATGGCCGCGACGGCATCCGCGGGAGCGTCTGTGACGTCATCGTCCTGTACCCAAAATTCCCATATCCCTTTACCGCTATCCAGTCCATCATCGAGACGAATCAACGAATGGGAGCCCGGGAAGGTTAGGAGACGAGTTCCGCGCGAAGGTGCCGAATCTTCATCGTCTTCGTTGCCGAGGAGTCGCAGTAACTCGCACAGTGGCGGCACGAAGAACAACTGTAGCGCCACGGTCCAGGATTCTGGCTTCAGCACGGAAACATCTTCCAAGGACAGTGCTTCAACAGCGATAGCGCCAAGGCCGAATAGTCCTAGACCTACTGTTCTCGACGAGGCGGAAGACGAGCTGTGGAATCTTCTGGACGTGATCCATCGTAAGGGAATCAGACTCAGAGAAGAGGTAGAATGTTTGCAAGGTCGATTAGAGAGCGTAGCATCTGAAGATCTAGCGTCTACCGATATCTTGGATGCTGTGAGAAAGGTTACGTGTCTGGAGAATGAAAAGACAACGACAATACCGACCGAAGAGGATAAACAGGACAAAGACAAAGATTCTCAAGTAGTGACGCTGAGGAGGGAGAAGGAGCAACTTCTGGATAAGGTGGCAGAGCTCGAGGCGGAGACGATATCCAGTCGAGCTAGAGCGCAGGAACTTCAATCCGAGTTAGCCGCGTTGTCTGCTTTGAAAACTGGTCTCGAGGATCGACTCCGGGCTGGACTGAGCGAAGCATCCGCGGATGTGCTTGCGCCAGGTGCTCAGAGGTTGCAACCCATCGCATCCGCGACGCCTGTCGTCTCGCCGCCGAAAAGCAATAACGTTAGCAATATTAAAAGCAAGTCTTCGGCGTTTGCGTCGGTTGCGACGTCCACAAAGGCTCATAAAAGTCGCTTCCGGACAAGGACTATAGAGAAGAACGTTTTGTTGGACGTCACAGCCCATAATGAGGAGCTACGCGATATCGATGTGGAGGCGAGTGTAAATGAAAGGAGAGCACGTCTGGGTGCGTTGGATTCCGTCCTTGTGTCACCTACCAGAGTTGCGCACGTTAAGGATGTCGACTCGAAGAAGATAGCTGCCATTCTACGAGAAAACTCACCTCTTGAGCTGCAGCGGCATTTAATCACTACTACCGTCCATAATCAGGTAAATAGCTAAGATTTATAAAATTTCTTCCTTCAAAATTTAATATTCTAGGATTTTAATATAATTTGTAAAGTAGAGGCATTATGATCGATTTTGAGGTTAACTTAACCAGTGGTTGGTTATTTCCATCAAGAATTAACAACATATAAAAAATTCATTAACTTTGTGTTTGAGTGATAGGCTATGAAATATCAGATATCGTTGTATTGGGAGTAGTTCTTCCAGTATGACAAATCTTACACATATTTAAATGAAAATGTTACAAGGTAAATCGATATCTTGCAGGTCCTACAAAAAAGGTTAGATGAAGTACAAAAAAGTACAGAAACTCTTTCCGAACGATTAGACAAGGCACGGGAGGAAAACGACGACTTACGTTTCCAGGTAATTTATATAATTACATAATTTTAATTACGTTTATACGATAAATGATTAATTATGAAAATATGTAAATATTCATACGTATAGACATTAGATAAACGAATACTAAATACATAATATGTGTTCAATATAACACATTAATATATTACATAATAGTATAACACTTTAATTATACATAATCGAATATATTTTCCGAAATTCTAGATCACTCGTTTAACTATCTCTACTTGTACCCATCGAAATTTTGACATCTTAATATATATTGCAGCTGGAGGAGAGAAACATCGAATTGGAAGGTACACGAGCGCGCGTTCGCGTACTAGAAAGACTTCAGCAGCGACCACCAACGGAAATAGATCCGGAGGCGGACGGTGATCAGCCAAGGTGTGAGCAGAATGGTCTCGAGCCAGGAAGTAGCACAGAGTCGGCTCGCGATCATCATCAAGCCGTCGAGGTTAAACCGTCGCCCCGGCGACGTCCTAGCCGTATACCTTTACCCGGTGCTACGACGAAGGCAGCAGCACCCAGACCACCTAGCCACGGAAGGAACGACAGCAAGGAATCGTTGAAATCGTTAACAAGGCCGCCGCGTGATTCTAGTCGCGACAGTCATGGTGGCAAGTCTTTGTCGAAGGCTCGTGACTCAAATCGAGATTCCCTCGGGAACAAAAGCCTGACCAAGAATAGTAACAACAACAACGGCACCGGCGGTGGAAATAATAACGGAACTGGAAACAGCAAGGAGACAAACAGGGAGTCCCTGAACAGGTCCCTGCCGCGTAACAATTCCAGCCGAGACTCCTTAAACAAATCCTCCTCGCTGTCCCGCGCCCGAGACTCGCTGGAGTCTAACAACCTCGGCACGTCCTCATCCCCTGGGACGACTCCTCCTCGAAGACCGCCCGCCCCTGCACGCCGTTCCTACAGCCTGGCACGCGCGTCAACATCTGTTGATACCGAGAACGGCAAGGTACGATCCGTAAAGCAATTTTTTTGGAGCAACTGGCTGAAGTCATCGTTGTCCAACGGCCCGATGTAGTAGAGAGTCCACCAGTATCCTCTTCTCCAGGACGGCCAGTAGTCACTGTTAGGGATATCTGCTGCTTCTAATTGCGGCCCCCTTCGAACCGAGTCCGTCTCCTACGCCTCTCGGACCTTCTAATTTTCTCCCGTCTCGACACGCTGACTTGTGCTCACCATAAAACAACAAAAAGACAGCCCGGTTAACCAACGACCAAGGGTCATTCACTGTAGCTACTTATAGTCGATTGAATTTATTTGTTTCATCGGTTATACAGCTGACTAGCTAATCTTTACTATTCTCTATTCACCTCTTGCGCCATCCGTGTACCAATGTATAATCAATCTTTCTCAGTCAAACGCTGGTTCTACTACTAATCGTTGCGTCACACTCACAAAACGTTCTTTAATTTCACTATCGGTCCTATCTTTCGTCGTTCTCTTCGCCGCGGTCCATGCTTTCCTCCGCGACAGCACCCGTCCTTAACGTACGTTAACTCTTATCTATCGAAATGTGGAATCGTTTCCGATCTAATCATCCTCTATGATACACTCGATCATTCCTGAAAACGTTATTAAACTCTGACGTATACAGAGACTCTCGACCGACATTTGTCTTAATTACGACGAATCGCCCGACGATCCACAACCAAAATGTCTGATCTGGAGCGCAGGCGAGCGTGCGTTCGAGCCCGTCCCCGGCGGTCCAATACAGAAAATGGCCCCTTCTCGCGTGCCGCCGGTTTTTCTCGTAAGTTATGCTTCTTTTATTATCATTTGCTTCGATGCTTCTTCCTGGATGTGGTGAGCTATGAGCCTGTTTTTATCCTCATCTTCCTGTTTTCTCGTCTCGTCAAGTAGTACACACATTTGTAGTTGTCCTCTTTTTTTTATTTTTCATTTTTTTATTATTTTCACTTTAGTTTTTGGCATGCGCACGCACCCGTAGTAAGCCTCCCTTCAATCTCCATCTAAATTAGTTGAATTGGTTCTCACGGTATCAGCCATATATTATATTACTTTCCTTGTTTTATTTCAGTGAAGAAAAAGTAGCAGCACTTGCGACACGCGACCTTAACATACGTTCATACTTAAAAGACATTAGTTGCATTTCTACGTATGGGAGGATTTGAGTAATCGAATGTTATGAGATTGCATAAGGTATTATAACTTGATGATAACTCAGATTGGGAATACCCATATAATTAAACTTTAATCTGTAATCTTAGCTCTTATGTCACTTGAGGTCTCAGTTTCTCACACATTTCATTTGGGGATTTATCTGATTTTCTATACTTTCAATATACTGACTCATTGAATACTTAAATACCACCCCATAGAACACATCTTCCTGCATAAAATATTGATTATGACCTGATTTCCTTTTTCTTATTGACCCCATAGTAGTATTAGTTATGTTTTGCAACAAAAAGATGCATGCAAATTGATATAACGTACTTTGTCGAATTTTGTGACTCGAATAATTGAAAACAAATTAAGGTGAAACGATTAATGTTTAATGTAAGTAAAATCTACAATATCCTTATAGTAATAAATCATAAAATTCGACAGATAATTTTATCGGAAAGCGAATGTCGGGGATAATTTGGCTCTTCGACCATCCTGACGTCGATATCTCCGTCTCTCCACCACTTTGTCGTAAGATTACATTTATTGCAGTTATGAATTCAAAAAGAAACGGGCAATTTATTTCAGCACGCACGTCGAACACGATATTACCGTAAATTTTCACGCCGCGCTAGCGAAGATTCCCTCGTTTTGAATGTCCATTAATCTTTCAGTTTGTTTGCTCTTTCATTTGCTCAAGTTTGATCTTATTTGCTAGCGTTGCTTGTATGCGGATATAGCCTCGAGAGCCATGACGTGGCTCGCAGATTCGTACTTATAATGATTGATGTAAAGGAAAATGAATCGACCACACGCTTACCTGCTTGGCCTTGCGGTTCATTGTCCACCTCACGTCCAGTGCTACGTGATACTACGAATTAAATACTAATTTACAATCTCGTCGTTTTTCATTGCACTCTTTAAAGTGCGAGCGGTCTTCTCGATATTTGCAGTGACGATCGGATGTTCGATTCAATTATGCATTGGTAAGTTACTCATGCAGACAAAATTAATTCAAGAACAGTTTAGATTAGAGTAAAATATTTTAAATTCTAATACGTATTGCCTTTTCTTTTTATCAGGAGATTTTGAAAAGAAATTTTAGGAGAAAAATATTGATAGATATAATTGCTAATAAAGATAAAAGGAATAAGATTTGTCGATAAATAATGTTTGCAGTAATAAATAAGAAATATAATGATCTATTATTATTTGATGCAACAATTCAATATTATAAGAGAAAGTAAGAATTTGCAAAGTATTCTATGCTTTATGTATTTTTCATGTTTTTTATTTTTATACTGTTTTATGCTTTTTACACTTCCTTCAAATTGAATTTCTGCACATCGAATTTATATTTACCTTATTATGCTTTATACAGTGAGATTTTAAATCTATTTCTTCTCCTTTTTATATTTAACGAGACAAAGTAACTGGCTTGTATTTCCTTGTTATTAGAAATTGAACAGAGCTAATCTCATAAAAAATTCAAATTTCATTTGCGCTATAATCGCGAATTAGGCATAAACTTAATTATTAAAACAGTTTCTTTAATTATTCTAATTAAATCATGTGAAATTACATATAGTCATATAGAATTTCTCAAGACTCTTTCTCAATAATAATTAGAAAGTGGTAAATCTGAAACCACTCATTATTAGTTTATATTAAAATTACTAATAACGTATTGTAATTATTAGTTACATTTTTTGAAGCATATGGTTATACAAACTATATCAAATCTTTTCATCGAACTTTCTCAAACGTTTAATCTAACAAGTATGTAGTATACCTCTGAGAGATACCTTCCGAACTTTCGATCGTCACTGCAGATATCTGTATCGGACTTCAGACATTCAGAAACATTCAAAAGTGGTTCAGAAAACTTCCGTTTATCTCGTACGCACACCGCATTCTCATATATTAGAGACACTTTCGATAGTCATCATATTAGTATGTATCATGTAAAATACCAGAGACGGTATAAGAGCACTGATCATTGTGGGATTTTGTTGTGTATTTTGCCTCAGAGGAATTGAAACGCAGTGAAATACAAGCTACGTGCAAATCTTGAAAAATCGAGTTCTCGTTCGCAGGTAGAAGCAAGTGGAACAAAAATCAATAATAGGTATTGATGTTTTTCAGAGTTGCACCGAACCACCGAGTTCTTGGTGCTCAACGAACGGCAGCTTCCGGCACAGCGATTCCTCTTTGTATCCGGATTCCTTGAATCAAGAGACTTCGTCGGTGACCGGTACGACCAAAGTGGAATTTATCATTGGTTCGCCAATCAGACGTTTTCGGCAGAGTTCTGTCTGGCCCCATCGTTATTTCGATAGCATAGATTCAGCAGCTATGTTGCCAGAAAGCCTGTTATCGGACGAGTTTTCTCTTCGTCGTGGCGAAGGACTTGCTGAATGCGATTCCCTCGAGTGTTGTCTGATTTCAAATGACAGCTAAATCGGGAAGTTCGTAGTTTGTCGACTTGTCAATGAAAATACTTAAAGAATCTTGATGGTTTGGCTCATTTAATTGATAAGAAGGAAGACATTTGAAGATAAAGAAAGATATATTCTGCGCTTGAATAAGAAGCTCAATAGTTACGAGTTTAAATTAATCTGAGTATTATGTAGTTTAACGATTAAGAAAGTTCGCATTAGGCTTCAAGTGCTGAAGATTATTTCCATTATTACGAATCTGTAACATTGATTTTATCTGACATATTTCTATTTTCTACGTCTGCTATGACTAGCAATGTTTCTGAAGTATTGTTTAATTTGAATATAGAATTTTATATAATTTCTTCTCAAAGTTGCAGTTTATTATGTTTTATTACCTTTGTTTTAAGCGAAAGACAAATCTGACAAGAAAACAAATTTTTTTTGCCAAGGAAATAATGTTGTAGATCATGAACTGCGAGCTTAAAGCATCAAGATTCTTTAATATACAATGAGATTGACGACCATAGACTATTTTTATAGAAGCTGATTGCTCCATTTATCATCTCATTCTATTCATTGTTCCACTTTCACTTCTCATTTTCGGTACGTTTTTGTGATTTTCATATGCAGTTTATGAATCAGACTATATTTCAGACACTATGGAATTCTATTAATAACTGACATGAAATTGATTGATTTCTAATTCGAGTATGAAAATTATATACACAAACAGATTGAGAATCACGTATGGCATATACATCGATGTGTGTTCATTTGCAGTGTCGAATGGAAGATATATTGATATATCAAATTTTCGGTCCAAATTTTCTTATTTGTTGAAAGTGCAACATTCTAAATATGTATGTATTTTTTAATAGTCCGATGAAAAGAATCATGGCGACAGACGATAATGATTGCGAAAATTATCGTCAATTTAATTTCTTATTTTATACATGCGAGCAACTTTATGAAATCAATTTAAACAGTTGAATTGACTAATCGGAGAATGTGAGCCAAAATAATTTTATCAATCGATAATCGATCGCATAATATGAAACAATATAATTTAAAAAAATGACATTTTTTCTATGAACTTTGGTCAAATTAAACCAAAGTTACCTTTTTCACACTTTAAAGATTAATACATACATTTTCATTGTTTATCAACTTTGAATTACATGTAACATATTATAACGAGTTGCTAATATATATAAATTAATGCGAAATGTACGACACATTGAACTGAGGATATGGTTATTCTTGAGTACCTTTAGACAATGAGTGAAAATCTTGAAATATATTATAAATGGATTTTCACTGTATCCATGATATATTTAAAAGATATCTTCAGTTTCAAATACTGCAACATCGTTAATTATGACGCAAAAAAGAAAGAACAATTTTTATTATTGCGTTTGTTAATTGTCCAATAAGTATTCAGTTAATTCTGACATTTTTTTATCGATAGAAGGTTTGAAGTATTTTGAGAAATATAATTTGTATTTTAATAGGGTCCACTTCAAAAGATTTTTATAAATCGGTGAATTGCATTTTTTCGTATCATATACTGCACCAAGCAGTTGTGCATACTTAGGCAAACAACTTCAAGAATAAGTTTGTTCGACAAACTTTTAATTACTTGATAAACCAGTCCAGTAGAGAGCAAGTTTTTTGTTATTTTCATGTAATCATTGATGGACTTTTTGAAATGTATACATCAGTGCATTTTAGATTTGTATCTTTATATCTTAAGACTGTATCCTTATCTGCTGCTACAAAATTGCTTTTGTTATTGTCGAATCATCTTTTGTATAGAATTATAAATGACGTGATGGAAATGTTTTCGATATTTATATGCTTTCTATTTACACCGAATTGATTTTATTAGTCTTTTCATGCGAGACGTTAGTTTCCTTTTTTATCAAAATTATCCTTGTAAAGTTATCGAAAAATATTCTATTTTTTCAGAATAACAGTTATAATATTTTTACTTGCTGTATTACAATTTTTGCAATATAATATGTTTAAACTTTTGATAGAGAAAATAAATAAGAACAAAGTATTCGTAAAATGAACAGTAATAGAACAATGAATCGAAGTATTTGTCGTTCGCCATTTTACTAAAAATTTTGTTTTAAATAATTTTCTCCATCATGAGTCTAAAATTACAAATTCGTTTATAAATATTCAATTCTTTTTATTGATATTGATGAAAATTTTGTATCATTTTATGAAACGTATTATATTGATTATAAAATAGAGGTAAAAATATAACTCTGTTATCTTATCGTTTCAAAGTCAAATTTGCTGATAAAATATTGTTTACTTCAATATTTGACATAATAGAAAATTATAAATTAACTATTTCTCTCGTTGTATGTAAGTAGGCATGAAAAGATTAATAATAGCCGAACACAAATGATATTACGATCACTAACACATTCCATGCTGCAAATTCGACAGTTTCATATTCCATATAGCATTTGTACCTTTCATTTAAACTTGCGTTGTGATTAATGTAATTTATTTATTGTGTGCGTGTGAAATGTCGTACAATCGCGCAGATTTTCATATACATAGAGAAGAGAATATCTTCATATGTAAAGAAGAAAATTCATAAGGAGACACCCTTTCGAAAACCGCGATGTTGATTCTTGAGTCTCTAGAAATTCTTCCTTGGAAATTCTGGAAGGGAAAAAATGAAGAAGCAGAGAAAGTAGCCTGGTCGAGTGTACGAATTGATTGTATAAAAGCTTTTCGTAGGAACACACATATCGAGTGAGATAGTGTGAAAATGTATCTTTGACAATATCCTTGATCACCGCAATATAGATATTCATAAATTTTAGATCTTAACTAACTGTCAAACTTTTGCTCTAATCGAGTCGTGTAGAAATTTCTCAATGATTGTTGCGATTAAGTGTTTGTTTGGGGCATTTTTCAATATTCGAAGAATTCTTATCCTTTGTTCAAATGACTTTTTTTTATTTAAAATTATTATAATTATTCAAGTTTAACAATATTTAAAAATATTCTCATATTATTTTTATTTATCTAAAGTTCTACAGAAATGGACATGTTAATTATATTGAATATTTAAATTATATATAAGTATTAAAAATATAATTATAAAAGCAAATTAAATTATATCTAAAATTATCCAAACTATATTCAATGTTGCTATCGTATTTAGTTTTTCTCAAATTATACTAGTAATTAGATTTACTTCATACCCTTCGAACTCAAGATGAGGCGTTGCATTTATTCTGTATGTGTGTGTGTTTGTGTGTATATGTGTGTGTGTTGAGTGTGAACTTTAGTTTCAAGAGTATTCTTGAATTGTCTTTTCTTTGAATCGTCCTTCCTTGATTCTCCGTTTTTCCAGCAGTAAACGCATTCATTCCGCTCCTTTTTTCTCTCCCTGTTTTAGTATTTCTTTTACTGTTCCTTTAACTGTGTTACTTTCACCTTTTTACATTCATGCAGCATATGTTCCAGTGACTTCTTCCTTCTTCACTACATACATATTTCCTCTTTCTTCGTTTGCACATCTGAACCTGGCAGTAAGCTTTGATCTCTGTCTTCGTAGTGCTCATTTAAATATTTCATTCTTTAGTTATCTCTAATTTCCTTATAATGCGTGTTATATCTGCTTTCTATTATTCCACTATATTACCATTGTAACTGCTCTGTCCTGTTCATTTGCGCTGGGGCTTCAGCAAGATCTTTCTCCCTTCTTTTTTCCATTTGCACTTCTTTAATACCTGTCATTTTCTGTCTGTGGTATGTGTCTGTAATTTCTTCCCAGTTCGACTTCTTATCTTCTTTCTTCGTATCTATTTCCCTTCAAGATTCTTGTATTATTTTATACTTATTTAACCGTTTGGTTTTCTCCTCGCATCTTGTTGCTCTTTTCCCTGCTTCTATCCTTACTTTATTCTATCCATTCGTTTTGGTTTCCTCGAGGACTAAACATTAGAAACTATGGAACGAAGTCCAGAGCCATTATCCACCTAATATATTTCTCTCGTATATTTTGTATTCATGCTTTGCTTCCTTCCAGCCTCATATTTCTGCAGGGTACAACAAAATACTTTTAATCATACTCCTAAAAATTCTCATTCTCCTTTCAATTTCCTGAAAATATGATTACATCAAAAAGAGAATTCTTTTTCTTCGAAATTTTTCGAATCTTCAAATGTCCCAGATATTCTCACTTAAAAATATACACGTGTAATAAAAACAAGAAAAGAAGAAATAAACGAATAACTGCGTGTTGAAAAAGCGAGAAAAGAGAACGTCAAAGAGAAGCATATCGTTTTTACTATAAAAAGAGGAAGCATATTCGCTGTCGTGAGGTAGACTGATAGGTCAACGGACCTAGAATTAGTCGGATCGTATGACTTGAATGTAACGACTCGGTAAGAAACACTACGTACCACACAGTTCCTTGCTTCAACCAATTTCGTTATTTATAAAAAGTAAGGGAAAAAGGGTTAGCGACCGTCAAGACATCGAGCATTCGTGCGTTTAATCACAGTGATCCTAGTTATTACAACGTACGTTAACTGTACGAAGAAAGAGAGAGAGAGAGAGAGAGAGAGAAGAAAAAATGATTAAAAGAAGAAACATGTGATTAACTTTTAGCTGAACTCACATAGGACTGACGGATTTTACTTATATTATTGTTTTAGTGCCTAACTATTTTTACGCGAATAGTAAAGGAGAGATTGTGCGAATGTGCGAGCGTGTAACAAAGAGTAAAAGAAAGAATGAAAGGGAGAATGAAAAACCAAAACCGAAGCCGTGTGACTTGCGAATGAGTTTCCGTTTTTTAGCCGCTACCTTTGTGTCGCGAGACGAAAACGCATAAATGCGAATAAAGAAAGAGAAACGAAGGACGATAAATGCTCAGATATGAATTCTGCACATTCGTATATGTACAGTTGGCGGACTAATTTAGTGTGCTGACTGGAGGCTATTATTTTTATACCTTAATTGATGACTGTGAGAACGAGAGCGATTAGAGTGTCGAGCGGACTGCGCCGACCTTAGCAACTTCCTTTTTTCTCGATGATAGTACCTTCATCGTCGTTGTATTATAATTGATTATTAGACTTATTATCGGGTTCGTGCCACCGTGCTTCGGCTCACTGACTAAACGGTGGTTTTATTATCGATACCACACCCGACACAATTTATATATGTATATACGTATTACGGCATCGTGATTTATTTAAAAAAAGTTAGTTTAAATGTACAGATGAATCTGTGTAACGATATCTGCGATAATGTGATCCGATTAATAAATACGATATTACGTAGCGAATGTAGTTTTTCGTTACCTGCTCTAGAAAAGATATATCTCGCGTTATGTATATCCATTGATTTGTTTCTGATAATTTTACTTCGCGATGGTATTTTTTAACGACTTAAATAACATTGTCGTTATTTGTTTCCAAGCCCTTCGAGTAATAATCAACGCTGACAAAACACTCCTAATTTTTCAAATTTTATTTTCTTCAAAGAAATTAAATTTGTACGTGTATATTTATTTATTATCATAAACTCGAACAATGAATTTTTTATTCTCACATTAGGTAATATTTTTAGTCCTCTATAAAGTTTCCGACAGTCGCAGAAGTTTCAACTTTGTTCGAATAGCCATCGATGTTTGTTTACAGCAAAGTAATGTTAACTATATTCACGTTGTCAACGCATAATTATCATATCCCGTCACTCCATGTATAATTATTACATATGAATATTTATTGAGGACGCTTTAATTATTATCCTTCAAGTAATTAGGTAAGTTGTTCTAAAAATTGAACAAAATGAAAATTTCCATAATGTGTATAACGTTTCATACGCGCGTTTACATATTTTGTCTCACTTAATAATATAATTTCAATTTTATTCAGACCTACGATCTGTGATAGGTTAAAAAACATTTGCCCTTAGCCAATTGTATTTTTTGCGAAGAAAACGAGCAACAATAATTTAAAAAGAAATATGTTACCTCGTTAGTCATAATTTTATTTCTAACAGTACGAAATTAACGTTACTTTCGAAACGATAGAAATATCTAACTATCTCACGTATGCCCCCTGCCCTCCTCTAAGACGTTTTGTCTTATCTAAATCCTTTGTACAGTGCACAAATTTACAAAAATAAAAGAGGATAAATTTGCTTCACACGGAAATCTAGTTAACAGTACACAGGAATTTCTCGTAAGGAAATTTTTTCCGTCTTACATCTGGTGAACGAAGGACGCGACAATTACTGTACTGTGAACGTTTTATGCATTTATAGGCAATTTAAAGCTATTGTGCGAGAAGATACAGACAGTAATTAGAAATGTTGATATTCCACGGTTAGCAA